GAGGCCGGCTCGCGCTTCCTCTTTACGCTCGACACGGCTGCAACGGCGTCTTCGCCCGTGCGCACCTGCGTCATCGCCGCCATCGCAGTCTCATCGCGTCGTTTAGGAGTGCTTCTACGAGCTCCTCGACGCCCGCGCGACACAGAACCGCCTGCTCTTCCGCTTCGAGCTGGTCGACGCCGAGACGCCTGGTGCTCGATCGTCTCAAGCGGCATGCGCTGACAAGGCGCGCGGTAGATGCCGTGGACGCCTTCATCCAGACACCCACCGGGCGGCTCGCCAAGGAGTGGACGTTCCGCAAGGCCGGACACGTTGCGATCCAAGTGCGCGAGAGGTACGCATCGGCTCGTCGCCTGAGACCTACAACGTGCATGCATAGCGGCCTCTACCGCTTCTGCTTTGTGCATCCAGGTACCATGGTCGACGCTGCCGTCCATGTCATCGACAAAATAGGCTCTGGCTCGGCCGAGAAGACGGTCTTGTACGCCTTTGACTTTCTCCTTGCAGGCACACGCACCTTCACCGTAAAGCCATTGCGCAGAGCGTCCACTTGACCCTTCGTCCGCAGGTCTATCCCTCCCGGGCCGACACGCTCGGCGTCGTCGCTTCGTCGTCGTCGCTCACTGCCGTGCACTCGCACACGGACCACGAGGTATAGCTCTTCTTGCGCTGCGCAAGCGAACAATTCCATGTCTCTAGTCGGTGGGCTACATGCGCTTCTCGCTCTCCGGTGTCTCCCCCAGCATCGTCGACGCCAAGACGCGCGTCTACCTCTCGCTCTCGGTCAAGGCCACCGACGTCTCGGAGCTCCAGCTCGCGACCATCCCTCTCTCGACCATCCAACATGGCAGCTGGTAGATATCGATGCAGTGCGAGATGGGATTTTGAATCTGTGGCTAGGCAATCGCACCTCGACGGCGTGGCCAGGGTACTTCGAGTACTGCCCATGAGCATCGACACAACACACGTGGCGTGCTAGGACCACGTCGTCGCGTGTGAGACCGGGGGCAGTGCCGTCTTTGATATCACCGACATTGCCACAGGTTTGCCCTATGTTATATATGGCACGCTGCACGTGGACTAGACGCCATCAAGCACGGGCAGGCGACGTTGTCCTTGGCGGTACCCTCCTCTCCACGAAACGCGCTGGACAATTTTGTGTCTAGGTGTTTAGCCCGTCCGTAGGCGCGGCAGAGCTCCACTCCATGTCGCAGGTCGCGGCCGACCACTGGCCGCTCGTGACCTTTGAAGGTATGACGTGCCTTTGTTCGACTTGACGCCACGTCTGTCGGTAGACGTTGGCGCGTCGCTGTGGATCGAGATGCTGCAGTTTCGCCAGCGCATCTGGGACCTCAAAGGTAGGTGGCTAAGCCAGCCCTGGATGCACCGACGCGTACGTACGTAGGCAAAATCGGCTCGATTGTGCAGCACGAACGCACGAGCCGCAACGGTACGCGTTTCATCGTCTCTGTCGCTGCTTCAATTGTGTGTCGCAGCGGCCGAGAGTGCCCTCGCCCGCTTTGTGTACGTGGCGCTGCTCGGGAACGTGGTCCTCATCAGCATGGCACTCGCGCAAGTCTACTACGTGCAGAAGTGGTTGGCGTGCTAAGCGTCAAACGAGTAATAGCACGATAGAGACTACAGACGCATCTCCTTCTCACCACTAGCATCTAGCATCCCAACCTGTTTCCGAGTGTTTTCCAGCCAACTCGGCGAGTGCCCGAGTCGTCTTTCTTGCATTTGTCAAGGGGTCGGGCCGTTCCATCCAACCATGATCCCAGCTCTCGACCTTTGATCTGTGTCCACAAACGAAACGAAGCGTTGTCCGAGCAATGTGGTGATCACCACTCGTGTGGCTTCGAGTGGCACCCCAATGGGTCGAGGTAGATGTTTTCAAGATCCTCACAACTGGTTAATTAATGCATTACCCGTAACAAGAAGAAGAGGCGCGGATGCGAGACCTCAAACTTCAATCGCTCTTCTTTGTGCTCATTCTCTCGCTCGTTTCTACAGTACTAGTACCTACACAGCATCTCGGATAGCGAATCGTCTCATTCCGCAGCTCTGGACTTGAGATCTACATCGTCTACAGCGTCTTTGCGCGCCGCCCAAAGCCACACGAGGCTTGACGCGCCCGACATGACGTCACGTACCAACTACAAGTTGACAGACGCGTTTGTCCCAGGCCAA